AAAAAAAAAAAAAAAGGAGAAAAAAATAGAAATAGTTTAAAAACTAGCGAGTCCCGCGGCCGGGAGCTCCGCTCCGCGCTCGGCGGCCGCGCGGCCAGAGCCGCCGCCGCCCGCGCTGCACAAAGGCCCCGCGTCGCCGGCTGCGCGCGGGGGCGGCTCCCGGGTCGGCGCCGGAGCCGGGCGGCCCGGGGATGCGGCGGCTGCTCCAGCCCCGCTCGAGGGCCGCAGCTGCCCTCAAAATGACCGTCGAGGCTGCAAGTCACTATCAAACCGAAGGGTGGGTGACCTGTCGGGTGCTGGCCCGGCCCTGCTGCCAGGCGCCACTAAGTCACCCAAGGAGCGCGGCTGCGCTGCGAGGGACAGCAGAGGGGCCGCTTCCCGTGCCAAAATAACCAGGTCGCTGCTTCCCCATGGAGGACGAGGCTCCAGGACGGCCTCGGAGCAGTGAGCCCTCCAGGGAGCCCAATTAGGCCCGACCTCATCCGCGCTGCTGTGGATTTTCTTTAAGCCCTAGATTATTTTTTAATTGATCTGGAGCAACAGTCCTGGAGCCCAGGAGCTGCTCCACAGGGAGCAGGCGCCAGAGTGGAGGATCCCAGCCCCAAATGCCGGGGTTGGGACGGTGCGGGCGGTCTCGACATCCTCCGGCCGGTGCCTCCCACACAGCTTCGCCTTGTGCAGCTGGAGGAAATGTATCTTCCCCCATCCCCTTGGGACCTCTGGGAGCTCGCGCCGACATTTTTGTCACCCAGGAGCTTCTACCAGACACAGCCGCTGTCACCGGGGCACTGCTCTGGGGAGCTGGATCCCAGGACGGCCCCTGCCACAAGAGCCCCAGGAGTTGGGGGGCTCTGTGCGCGTGCTGGGAATGCTGGCAGGAAAGGGGTCTGGGCGGGATATTTGGCTTCTCCTACAGAAATCAGGAATTAAATGTTGCCAATAGCCCGGGTAGAAAAATCCTGCAAGGCTTCAGGGCCCTGTGGTGATGGGGGAGGCTGCGGCGCCAGAGCTGCTGGTCCCTCTTCGTCCCTCTGCATTGAGGACAAGCAGGAAGAGGCTCCAGGTCCGGCCTCGTGGCCGGGGCTCATGGAGGGGCTGGAGAGGGCCAGAAGTGGGGGGCCGTGGGGAGCTGCTCCCCTCCCTTTTCMTCCTCCTTTAAAACACGTGGGCTGGGGAGGGTGGTGGGAATCGGCCCACGCCCTCCTGAGGAGGATCCCCACACGCAGCAGGACGGGGCCCGGCGCCGCGCAGCCCTCCAGGCCAGCTGAGCTCGGCCCGCACGTTATTTATGAGATCCAGATGTGCTCGCTTGGCGCTGCCACGAGGAATTGCAGGGCGCACCAGATCCCAGCCCTTCCAGCATGTCCTGAGGCCGTGAGGGCCACAGTGGCCCTGGAACAGCCCAGGGCCCGAAAACGGGGATGGGGTCTGGGAGATGCAACTGCTGTTCCCACTGCTCTTCCGTGTGGGAGCAGCACATCTCAAAGGGAAGGCTCCAGGCACCCAAGAACAGCAGCACAGGGAGATGCCGACTCCTCGCTAACCCCGAGCGCGGCTCCAAGCACTGGGCCTTGCTTTGCTGCTCCTGCAGCCCTCTGACCCTGCAGGGTCCCACGGGGATGGAGCCTCTGGCTGCCCGCGGTGCTGGCCAGGCCAGGGGAGGCACTGAGGCCGGCGCAGCTGCACGGCCAGGGGCTATGGGGCGGGAGTGTCACCGGCCTTGGCCGCGCATGGGACTAGTCTTTAAAAGGCTCCTTGGAGCCACCACCGAGACCGAAGTGAGGAGGGAGGCCAAGCTGCAGACAAAGGACAGAGGAGGAAGAGAAAGGAGGAAGCTGGAGGCTGCAGAGAAGGGAGCCAAGCTGTAGGATGGGATCCGAGGCGCGGGACGGGGCCCAGTGCCCCTGTGGCTCCCTGGGCTGCACACGCCGGCCGCGTCTCCCGCCTCGGTGGTGCCCGCCCGGAGCTGATGCACGAAATAAGTTTTTCTCGCTGGCAGCTCCGGCTCCGCACAAAGGCCTCCTTGTGTCCGCGCTCGCGCTGGGAGCACACGGAGGGGTGGCTGCGGCTCCACGTTTGCTTGGCCTCTCACCCCAGCGCTGCAGGGACGCCCGGGGCTCCCAATGCAGCCCCGTTCACGGGGCATCTCGAGGGAAGGCTCAGCTGCGTTCGGTGCAAAATGACTACCCAGGGATGCGATAAATCAGGCCAAAGTCCCCAACTGTGGGCACAAGGCAATACCTGGCCCAGAGGGTTCATGGGCAGCGCAGCCGTAATGGGGCTCCCCGAGTGCTGCCGCTGCTGCCTCCCCGGGCCTGGGTGTCGTCGCCAAAGCTGGAGCACTGGAGCACCGASCAGGAGCCCCTGCGGGCAGGGCGCCGAGCGTCCCCGGGTGCCGCCTTCACACCCAGCTCGCAGCCCTGCCCCTTGCACGAGGAGCGGCGGCTACGACCCGCAGCCGCTGCGCGGGAACCGGCTGCTTTCTGCGCCGCGCGGAGCGGGGCCCGCGCCGCCCTACCCGGGTAGCCGCCCACAGAGGCGCCGACTCCGACTCCTTGTCTCCCAACTCTCCCAACTGACAGCCAGGTGTTTGTCCAGGCGACAGTGCCGCTCTAGGAGGCTACAGGTGCTGCAGCGGGACCGTCGCGCTCGTGTCACCGGTCCAGGCAGGAGACAAGAGGAGGTCAACGCCAACCTACATCCACAGCCACTGCTCTCAACCACCACCCTCTAAAAACCCTGGGCAACAATCCCCGTGTGGACATCTCTCCGTTGCACCCCGCTGAGTTGCACTCCGCTCCCGAGTGCATGGAGCCGCACTCAGGGATTCTCCCGCGGAGCCCCCTCTGTCCCCTCCGTGCCCATCCCGTCGTGAGTGCAGCGTGGGCCGCGCCATGGAGCTCGAGCCATCACCGCCAACACGCAAAGAGCACGAGTCAAGCACAAAGCAGATCAGTTTCTTAAAACTTATTTTAATATCCATGTCTCATCTGTTGGGTAGAGCCAAAACAGTCTGGCCTGGTTTTAAGTTACAAATTCTTCATACACTTTAAGTAAATGAACAGTGTGGCGAGAGGGGCTGTTATGGGCAGTGAAACCCGCAGTAACAGGGTGGGCGGCGCAGGCAGGAGCCCCCAGGGGGTCACGGCCGCCGCCACAAATCCAAGCGGAGCCCACCGAGGGAACGGCCCTTCCGCGGGCAAGAACCACCCGCGCCGGGATCACGCCGCAAACAGGAAATGAATCCTGGGAATTCTCCGCTAGGCGACCCCAACCCCAGATTCGGCAAGCAGGAGGAAGCGGCACCTCTGCTCCTGCTCCGCTCGCTAACAGTTAAACTTCCAGAAGAAGCCAGGAGGGATGGAAAAGGCTCCGCCACGAGGGCTGAGCATTTAAAGATGCAGCTTTGCTTTTCTTTGCATCCAAACTGCAGCTTAGAGACCACCTGAATGCAGCTGCAAGTGAATGTGTCCAATTAAAAGCCCAAGGGTCACTACAAAAATAGTAATTAAAAAAAAGAAAAAAGAAAAAAAAGCAGCAGTTCTGCACTTCCCAGGCCCACAATTCAACTTCCCCAGATTCCTCCTTCGCCCAAGTTAAGCACAGGGCCCAGAAGGGCTTCGGTGCCGGCCCCTAACGGAGGCCGGAAGACCCTCGGAGGCTGCTGGGGGTGGGGTGGGGGGTGGGGGGTGTCCCCAGGCCCCACACTGGGACCGGGGCTGCCCGGGGGGACCAAGCTCCCCCCAGCAAACTCTGCTCTCCAACACTGCATCTTTAAATATTCCTGGCCCAGGGCTCCTGCCACATGTTCCAATGCTCCAACCTGGCTGCCACATGTTCAATGCATTTATTTTTTTGGTGTTTTCAGCCTTCCTTCAACGTGGGGAAAATACAGGGCCCGATGGGGACAAGCGGCTTGTTCCACAGGGGCAGGTTCCTGCCGAAGGGGCGGAGACAGAAGGGGGACAAAAAGCATTAGGGTGGCTGTCCCCTCACAGGACACGTCTGCTTCCCTGTCCCCTGGGCTGGGAAAGTCAGCGYGTGCGGGGGGGAAGCGCTGGGGGAGAGGGGAAGGTTCCTGCGGGAGCCCCGGCGCAGCAGGAGCCCGCCGGGCACCTCAACAAAGGAAAATCAGCACTGCAAATAAATAAAAAAGGTGCAACCGTTGAGAGGGAGCAAGGAAGCAGCAGCTGAAAAACCCGGGGCCAGCGGAGCACAGGGCACTTACGGGGCCTGTTCTGCTAGTGGCTTCACATCCTCCTTAGGAAGGGGCCTATGGGAAGGGAGGGCAACCCCCAGGGGTGCAGAGCGCTGCCCCGCCCTGGCACRGGCTCTGCCTCCGTCCTGCTGCTGAGGGTTTCACTTGAAGACCAGAAAACTGTTTTCTTCCAAAAAAAAAAAAATCATTATTTTAAAAAACTGAAATTAATTACGGGTAAAACACTAACTCTAGTGCCATGAACAGGCAGGATCAACTTTTTTTCCCCTCCAAAGGGCAAAGAGTCATATACCATCCCCAGCTGAACCTTGGTGCTTCGAGCTTTTCAGGAGATGTTACCTAAATTTTATTAAAAGAAAAAGAACAATGTTTAAATATCCACACTGGACTAGCCCAGTCTTTTTCCACAGTCCACATTCTTCATATGAAGCACACACCGCGTCCTGGATTCCCCAAGGCTGCATGTTCAGAAGTTCACAGTACATGGAACCATGTCTTTTTTTAAGCTTAGTTTTTTTTTTCTTTCTTTCTTTTTTTTTTTTTTTTTCTTGAGTTTCCCCTCCTTGCTCAGAGCAGCCACCCTTTGTGGTCATTTAGCAGATAAACCTCAAGCCAATTCCTATCCACATGGCTTGGCCTATGATGCCAAAGGTTTTCTTGATGAGAGTTGATGTTGTCATGCTCTATGGATGGAAAAAAGCAAGAGAAAAAAAGCACCTGGTAGAGGTTTCTTGAGACCCTTGCGGATTCCTCTATTCCAAAGCTGTTTCCGAAAATCTTTTTTGACGGTTTCTCAAGCAGTTTTTGGCCTATTACTCTGTCTCAGTTTGAAGAGCTGTTATTGGATGATCCAGAGGTTGAGGCAATGGCAGCTCCAGCTGGGCTGCTTGTGGATACAGATTTGCGGATATGAGGCAGCAAGTAGGGGTCACAGGCCAGCTGCTGGACATCTATCCGATCTTCCTTTCGGTAGGCCAAACAGCGTCTGATAAACGCCTGCAGACAGCCCAAAGGCAGAGAGAGAATCAGCAACACTCACAGAAACAGGAAGTTTTCTTTCATAGATAATTCTGTGGGAGCTGAGCCAATGTGACAACCCCAACGCCGAGATCTCTTCCCAAGGGACTGCACAGACAACCCAGGTCTTAGGGCAGAAACTCATCTTTTTGTCATGAAAAAGCAGGAGGAGAGGCACATGCCGCACTGCACTCAATCCTCCGAGCAACAGCCACAACACAGTGAGGCCACAGACTCCTCTGTAGGAGACAGGCCCTAAATACGGATCTTCTTCCCACATTTAGGGAAGGAGCTGCCAGGGCAGGTTGCTGGCGGGTGCACACAGCGGGATCAAGGCTGCTGCAACCAGACTTACCTTTGCTTCTGGTGTGACTACTGGCTTTGGAGGGAACTGCACCTCGGTAGCTTTCAAGATTGTGTTCTCCTGCAGAATATCTTGTTGTGACTGGTTGTGGCCAAAGGGCTACCAAAAAAAGAAGAGACAGTTGTTAAAGTTGACAGAAGGCCTTAAAAGACCCATAATGCTACTGTTTATCATCACTTGACATCACCGCTTTCCGGGCAAGGAGCCCACGCACGCAGTGCAAGTGCTGCAGATTCCAACCTGATGAGCAGGACACACTGCTCCTGTGCTTGAATCGAGCAAAGGGGCTGAGCTGGAACAGGGGCAGATGCGACTCCTGCTCGGAGGGAGCCGACCAGCTCCCACACCTACTAAGTCAGCAAAAGGCTCCTCATCTAAGCAACCTGCCAGGAGATTCGTCCTCCGTCACTGCCGGGCTGGTTCTACCATCTGTCTGACACTACCAGGCCAGCCCAGCATGTTTGGCAGCCCAGGCCTTCACAACAGTCATTACCAAGAGGTCATGGAACACAAGCACTGATGAATCTCATCCCACTCCACCCACTCTCTTCCGCAGTCAGAAGACACACTCGGCTCTCCTCAGGACAGGCATCTCCTCCTCCAGAATGCTCCCTTCCAAAAACCATTCCCAAAGCTTCCAGGGTAGGACTTTCTACGAAGCTCTTGCTTTGGAAGGGCTGCAGCTGATGAGCAGTATCAGGTTCGATGGGAACTGAAAGCATCACACAACATGGCCATGCAAAGAACCTCAGGCATCTGGTACGCTTGTGCTGCCCTTGAAGGCCTCAGTGGCAAGAAAAGCTCTGCAGAGCACTGCTTCTAAAGGAACTGTCACCCAGGGGTAAACATAGCTAGTAAATTCTCCCTATCTCATTAGCTTGGGCTCTGGCCTAGAACTCATGGCAAGGGGACAAAGTGGAAGCAGCAGCTTCTAAGTCTAGGGAGGAGAAGGAAGTAGAAGCCAGGGCTGCCTCCCARGAATTTGGGAATCACCACTAAGAATTGGTTAAATGCCTCCTTACCTTTCTACCATAGAGACACTGATAGAAAATGACTCCCACTGACCAGACATCAACTTTATTTGAAATCTTTGGAGGCTCTTTCCCAACCACAAAGCATTCCGGTGGCAGATACCTGGTTGGAAGGAAGCAATAAGTCAGTCATATCATCTGCAAATGCATTGAGTCATTTAACACAGAAAAAGAGACAAGCTTCTGCAGGCAGACGTTAGCTTGGAGTTCAAATGACCTAATTCTGATTCTTTCTTTTCCATTTATGCTTGGGCCAACATCTCCACTGTGCATCACTTTCCTGAAACAGTGAACTCACAAGAGTCTCCAGACCTCTATGGTCTAAGCTGGTCAGCACAGTGCATTTCCTTTCACCAGCACATAAAACAATCCCAATTACTTTTATCTTTAAAATGGGCATTTGTTGTTGAAAGGCCTTGGCCAGCAGTTTCGCAATGGAAACGCTCAGCCAGCGCTGAGGCAGCGACAACACTTGGCATTGGGGATGAAATACTGCTGAAAACATCTTTCACATGACACTTGATTGTGAAGCTGTGACTACACAGAGTACAAAAGAGGTGAATCTTGCAGCAAGATTTAACCCCATGGCTCTCTGTGAAATTCTCTCATGCTGGAATTCTCTTTCCATCTCTCTGACCCGTCGGTATTTCCATCGTACTCTTCACCTCCTCGCCTACACTGGTGATAGTGCCACTGCGCACTGTGAAAAACTGCCAAGCTCCTCTCCAGGGTTGGCTTTCGGCAACGTGCAGCACATGCAGTTTTGCATCAGGACCTTTGAATAACAGATAATTTTCAAATGTGTAAACACCAATCCCCTGGAAAGCAAAAAGCTGCCAGCCTCAAAAAGGAGCCATGTGTGACAACTGAGCAGGCAGTTTTTAGTGATTCAAACCTCCAGTGTCTCAAGCTGCCACAGACAATGGCAGCACATACAGAGCTGACAGGCATCCAAAGCTGTTTGTAAACTATTTTTGATCTCAAACTTGCAAGAGCCCCCAGGCGACACTTACCAGTAAGTACCAGCCCCCTGCGATGTCAGTTCCATGCCATCAACAGAGTTGTAGCTGTCATCATCCATGATTTTGGAAAGTCCAAAATCTGTGATTTTTATCTCTCCACATGCAGTACCATTGACTAGAAGAATATTACCTAAAGGGGAGAATTAAAGAGTTTCTTAGGACACACACGCAGCAGAAAAAGGCAGCAACGAAATTGCACTGAGCTCCAGCACCCTGTATGAGAAGACAAGCACCCTGCAAACACAGAGCTGCAGCAGCCTGTGGCGGATGTTTTAACATCAAGTACGGAGAACTCAGCCCTCAGCAAGGGCTGCAACTTGTCTGCTCATCCCTGAGCAACTCAAACGCAGCATTAGTTGGAGCCTTTAGACTTGAGCCCTCCTCTCCACATCAGCTCGGTGGCCACGCTGTTTTGCTCCCTCCCAAAAAGGACTGGTCCTGTTCAAAGGGCCGGTCAAAAAGGGAGAGAAATGAGAGAAGTGCACACATGTGCACACGCACAGAGCTGCCCAGGCGTCCTGACTTGCCCTGGACTCTTAGCAGCCAGAAACCCTCCCCTTCCTAGCACTGTGCTCCTAGTGCTCCCCAGGGTCTTGCTAAGCTCAGACAGAACAGTTACTGCTTAGGGAAAAGCCTTTTATGAATCCATCAAGGATCACACAGTCGGATCCTCACAGTTCCGAGCCTCCAACAAGGCAGCAGATCTGTGCACCAAGGCAGCAGATGAATCTATTTTAGACAGCTGTGGGCAGAGCTCTGCAGCATGCCCAGGCATCGGCTGCAAGAAGAACAGGGCAACAAAAACCTAGTGCAACAGCACCACCTCCTGCACACAATCCTCGTGCTCAGCAAGGCAAACCACAGAGAACTGTCTGTGGAGGCAGCTGCATTTTACTGCATTAGCAAAAGTCAGGCAGCTGATACACATGCCCCTAATCAAACCTGAGAGCACTCCCATTTTGCCCTCCTGACTCCCCACAGTGCTAGAAGGGAAACTCGTAACAACATGAAGACATGAGAAGCACTGCTGAATTCACAGGCAGACATGAGCAAACACAACTGCACAGCACTTCCCAAAGTGCAATATGAAATCATATACTTCATTCAGATGATGATTACACAAAGAAAAGAAAGAAGAAATACTAGTAATTATGTGAACTTCTACAAAACAGCAGCAGAAACTCACAGCAGCAGCAGAATATAAGCAGGACACTGAAAACCAAACACAGATGCTGGCAGTTCACGTTCTCATTCTAAATAAGGAGGCTTCTTTTTCTAGATGCTACTTCCTTCTTTCATGTTGCAACTCTGGGAGACAACAGCCTTTCCCAGCACTTTCTATGTATTTCAGCTCTTCCTTGTTGCAAGTTCATCTCCCCAGCCAGACCTGTCTTCTATTTAACAGTCTGACCAGACAGACTTCCCTCAGTTACTTATAATTCATTACCTTTTATTAGCATCCTTAAACACATCAGTCAGCAGCACAACTTACCTGGTTTAAGGTCATAGTGTATGATGGGAGGTTTGATTTCATTTAAGTATTTTAAAGCATTCACAATCTGCATGATAATGGATCGTGCCTCTTTCTCTGACATTAACTTGTGCTGTTTCAGGTAGAAGTCCAGATCATTTCCCTCACAGTATTCTAACACTGTACAAAACCTAAAGGCAAAACAGTAATTGTTGTAATTAAAAACAKAGAACACTTTGTGTTGCTTCTCCTTAAGAGACCATTTGGTCAATATATTAAAATTAAAAGCCCTGCAGCTCTTTCTGAAGATATGACACTAGGAGAACGGTCCTCAATATTCAATAGTGCAATGGCCTGAGATTCCCAATTTAGTGATAGGATCAGAAGGAGACAGCAAAACTAATCAAGGCACGTGCCTAAGACAACTAAAAAGCAGGATTTAGTAGTGGGACATCACGTCTGACCTAATATGGCGCACTGCTTTTAAGTCAGCATCTCTACAGAACTGATTTATGCAGAAATAGTCCAAGACTGCAGGGTGGCCTGCAGAATGGGTATGGACCCTCCCCGGACTCTCCTGGGAAGCTTTATTAGACCAAACATTTTGTAATCAGTGGATTAAACCGGCACACAGCAACATAACTTACGAGTCGGTATCCAGCGAAAAGTAGTCATATAGCTTAACTATTCGAGGATGATCCAGTTCTTTGTGAATTCTGTACTCTCTACACGCATGTCTGAAAATAGGAAAGTCTGGGCATTAATCATACAAGTAACTTAGTTCTGAGTTCTGTGGCTAGAGCAATACTTTGCATTAGAGAAGAAATACTGCTGAAAACATCTTTCACGTGACACTTGATTCTGTAGCTGTGACTATAGATAGTACTACAAGATTTACATCTTTTGTAAAATTTAACTATGGATTTTCATCTCATTGCACTGGAATTCTCCCCCAGGCATAGCACTCAGCAGTTCAAATTTAATCACAAACCCATGCACATTATCTAGACATCTTAAGAAAAGGCAAGCAAAAGAGGGGTTCAACAGTCCTMGAGAAACCAAGGACTCTGAGTGCATCTTGAACGCTGGCAAAACTACAAAACAACTAATGCTGATTAATGGCACTGGCAACCGAAGTAGAATAACCTCATAACAGATTGCTAAGCAATCCAAGATAGCTGAATACAAAAAAAAGCAGCAAGTTCTAGAAAAATTCTAGGATGCTCAACAGTTCAACCTCCAAGCCTTGATTCCAGCTTAGCTATTGCCAGTGACCTGCTGGGAAACTGGACAAGTACGACCACAGCAGCTCCGTTGGGAAGGCTTGGCTGCCACCCTGAAGTGCTCACTTGTTCCATGGCACTAAGAATCGAGCACTGCCAACAGCAAAAGGTTTCCTGTACCTCCCTTCTAGGCCATGACATACGTGCGTCCCTAATAAGCTGCAAAAGGACTAAGTACTCTAGGAACAAAAGAAGGGGAAGGCCATCTGAAAGTGCAGCGCTTGTGTGCACCTAAAGACAGGCATGGACAGAGTCTAGATGTCCTGGAGAGGAGAAGCCACTTTAACATCTTCCTCCTAGAGCATTACCACTGCTGCGAAACAGGTGTGCATGTGCACACCTTCCAGACACTGATAAACTGAAAACTTCTTCAACTCACCGGGACCCAGACTGGCTTTCTAAATGCAGTATAACATGGGAAAAAAGACAGCAGCCTGCTCACACTGGATAACCAAATACTCGAGCAGAGTTTGACAATGTAGCCCTCCGCTTTACAGCCTTACTTACTTGTGATAGTTTTCTTTCTTCTCATCTCTCCAGTTCTTATTTAACTGGTGTATTTTCACAGCTACATATCTCTGTTCTGTTAAATCAAAAGCCTGCAGAGAGAAGAGCTGAAAATCAGTAGGAATCAAAGCTTCAAGTTAATACTGCAAAAGCAGACAAGCTCCAACAAACCAACGTCTCCACCCAGGAAATCAGCATTACAACATACCGACTGAAGAGCAAACCCACATTTTCATGTAATTGGTTCCACTAATGAAATCAAGCAACTCTGAAAACAATTGAATATTCTGTGCTTGGATCTGACCTTCCCAAAGGGATCTAACTAATGCTGCATTTACTAYGACATTTTACCACCAGTTACAACGGGATCAGAAAGGCCATATTATCAAAATACAGTCAGTTAATCACACTAGGAAAGATGCTGCCATTTTTTCCCCCCCCAAACCACCTATCTCAAATTCTACACTCTGTTAGAAAACAAACCAAAACAAGCTAAGGATTATTAAATACTTTATTTCACACTGGTAGCTCAGTTCTTCATCTTAGAGCAAAGTGTGGCAGCTTGTTTAAAAGCTGAAGAATTCAATGAGTGAATTGTATAATTCTTGTGCTTTCCCCAGAGAGCAATTCAGAGTATATGCATGAGGATCACTCCCTCCTTTGATTACCTGAGCAGTCTAGCTTCCCTGTTTAGATACCTAATCTTTTACTGCATCAAAATGACAAGTTACCATAAGGCTTGTAATACTGGCACTATTATTTTAATTCTAGCTGAATTCTATGGAAATGAGAAACTAGTGAGTGCAGATGGAGAATATTTAGAAAAGAGAGGCTTTATTCACACCCATCAAACTGAAAGCACGACCACAGTATCACAGGCCTTGGCCATGTAAAAGTGCTGCCATGCAAGTAGTCGGCAGCTCCAAGGAAATCCCAAGCCAACACACACACACAGCCTGCTATTGCAGTGTGCAAAAGGGAAACACAAGACAAGAGTTTTCTACTCCCAGGAAACAAAAGCTTTGCTTTTACTATTGGAGTTGTGTTCTCTTATTTACAACAAATGCTCGGACTTCATATGCTATGCTTGATAAAACTTAGCCACTTCAGTATTTATGTGCAACTCTTGAAAATATGTTTTATTTCTCTGTCCTGGCAAAATTGCAGACCTAGTGAACTATGTTCTTAAAACATATATTTGTAGGAAATACAATCTCCAAGGACAAATGCAGAACCTAAAATTCTCAAGCTTGCTGTCTAATAAAAGCCAGATGCAACATGTGTTTCTTCCTCCCGTCTTCCCTCCACAACCACATGCACCATTGAGAAAACAAGTGTAAGATTCTGCTTACTGCAATGTTTCATTGCAGATGTAGATTGCACCACAGACTGGTGCTTCAAATTTACCTTATAAACTTCACTGAAGCCGCCTCTACCCAGAAGATGTAGCAACAAATATCTATCATTTAGCGTTGGATGGTCTTTAAATCTGGAGAGAAAAGGGAGTTTAATAAAACTCACAGTAACAGTGCAATCTACTGCACAGCTGAAAACCAGTAGTTTTATATTACAACTGAAAAWTTTAAAACTGCATTAATGACTGCCAGATTTGACACTATTTCATCACACTGCACTGATAAAAGACCACATAATGGTACTGATGTATTTGGAAGCCTTTATCTCCCCATTAAAAGTGTGACATATTAGGGCTAAACACACATACACACAGARAAGTATTTCCTATTAGGAATATTTTTTGTCCTTGACTCCCATGTGCTTACTGTGAATTATCTTCATTGTGTATCCTTTTCAATTCCCTGATATGTAGATTTCTAACCCTTTCTAGCCGTTCCAACTCTGCCTGGATCTCTGCTTCTTCCTGCATAATGAAAAGAAAATAGAAAGACAATGCTATTTAAGATGAAGCAGTCAGCATTTCTGCCCACTTTATGGAACCACAAATGGAATTTCACTTGTGAAGAAGTTACTTACCAGTAACTTGTTTGAGAAATTAAAGAGATGTTCATATTAAGAACAGCAGATTGCATCAGTGGAAGTTTAATGGCCTACCGAGCAGGTTGTTTGAATTCTTGTCCCTCTCTACATCTTCAATGCTAAGAGCTACTACTGCAGATGGACCACAGATATTATTAAAAAGACTATCTTTGTTTCAGACACATCAGGTCTAGAAATAAAAATCAGGAAGCACAAGTGCTGAGAGCTTCTGCCTCACACAGGAATACGTTATGCTCAGCAACTTCGTGGTTTGCACCAGTTCTCCTCTTGCATCTCCTCCATTAAGGGCTCCCCAGCTTTTTTCTTTGCAGGAACTCACTCTCATCTCGGACAAGGGAATGAGGACAACCCTCAAAAGTAAAGAACAGGGATGTCCTGATGTCACACAGGGAAAAGGCAGCGTCCAAAGGGGATGGAATACGTGAAAGAATGCAACGAGGTCTTGTTCGAGGTAGGCAAAAGAACAGRGCAGTGTGAGTTTGTGCCAAGTGACTGTGCATCAAAATAGCAAGTGTCGAGTTGTAGCATTCTCAAGACAGCAGAATTCAAGCCACAGTGGACAGCATTGCAAACCTCAATGAAAACATGCCCCTCAAGCAGTTTTATTTGCTCAACATGACTAAGGGACAGTTACCCATTTGTCTTGTGACTGCGCTCATTCTCTTCRCAACTTGTTCTATTTTTAGGCAGAAAGAATGAGCCAGTTTCCAAAAGTGGAGAAGGATTAGCAGAAGCTTCAGACAATGCCACAATCCCAGAACATTACTTCATTTTCCATAAAGGTCCATTTCTAAATGGATTCCTCTGTTTCAGGGCAGCATACTATATCAGCAATAAAGGCACCAGCAGCTAATATGTCCTAGCAATATGGAAGCTGTAGGGCAAGCATGCCTTTAGTGCCCAGATCACATATGTTTGCACACAGGTCAATAAAACAACTGGTAAAATGCTAATAGATGCCATAAGTATGTTAACTTTCTGATGCCATTGCAAATATCAAGGGGTGCGGGGGGACTGGTGAGGCCCTACATTCAACTTCTGTCTCAAAGATACCGAAGGGAGGAGGGGAAAAAAAAAAAAAAAAAAAAAATCCCACCACACATAAAGCTCAGATACCACCAGAGAAAAGAGGGCAGACTCTAGCAGCGACTTTGCACCCTTTCTCTTTGTTTCAGATGGAGAAAGAAAGCTCATATTATTCTCCAGTCTTTAGCAAGGAATAGCAGGAGACATCTATTTTGCTGGTGTATCATCTGCTGAAGTGCCCTGGAAGATTTATTTATGTTACTGCAGTCACTTAAAAAGAAAACCAGCCGTTTATCTAAATATAACTTCACTTGCAGGTGCAGTTCTTGCTGAAGCCAATATTTTTGAAAACAAATATGCTTTATAATTAGCTAAATACTACTAGCTTCCAAAAGCCCAACAGATTTTTGGACTGTTACTAATAACTCTGGTCACTTGCCATTGCAAAGAAATGGGAAAGTCATCGATGTCTGCACGGTTTGCTGTTTTCTCACACTTTTCTTCTGTTTTTTTTTGTTATGGAACTCAACATTTTAATTACGCTGTATTTCAAACTGTAAGAAGAATCAAGTTTCTGGGCCAGAAAGGCGTTGGGGTACCCACACTTTTATCCACAAGGGTTGAGCCAGTTAGTCCGTGCCTTCATGTTCCCCCATACCAGACACAATCAGAGCCTAGTGCTAGATTGGCCCTAGCGACATCGTAAGATGGATTAAAACTGTGAAATTCTTTATGTGAAAACATAACTGTAAGAACAGAGTGTACTTACTGAAGCAAAAGGCATCTTTCCTCAATACCACTTCCTTGGAAAAACAGGATTAAGAAACCCTGGCCAACTCTTCCAACCAATAAAAGCCTCCTACCTATGAAATGGCTGCGACCTCTTCAAAGACACACTTGTCCATAAAACACAATCAAACAACCTACCCAAAGCCTTTTTTGCAATTAATTCTTACCTTTTTAAGATGACCTAGTCGTAGTTTGAAGATTTCTTCCTGTTCATGATATTCTGCTAACGTTAACCTGCATGCAAGGGACAAAAATTCAGTGCGTTAAGTTTCAAAGCATCTCATAACAAAGAGACAATTTGCAGGATACACACCAGCTACGTATATGTTGAATAATCTATAACATTCTCCTATGGAAATGACTGCTACGCAGACTACTTCAACACCTGGCAGGAATCTTTTAGTTAAACCTTGCAATCCACCAGTCAAACAAGTGACCAAACGGTCAGACCTCAATAAATAGCTGCACATCCCAAATTCAAACCCAAGTCCCTAATAATGCTGATTTAAATACTAACAGGTTTTTAATAAGGAAAGCTAAAACATCATATATATATATATATATTTATGGAATACTGAGTGGTAAATATTCTATATCTTATTCTTCAGCTTAAGCTTGGCTTTATTGTTTGATTTTCCATTTTTTTTCTTGTAATAGTGGAAAGTAATCTGTTCACTCCAGCACTGGAAGCAGAGTCACTACAAAGAGCACTGAACTGGGATGCACGTTTTTCTGTTCCAGGCTCTAGGTGGTTCCCAGAGAAATCCTGGGCAATTTATTTCACTTTTCCCTATTTCTGTCCCTATATGGGAGGGGCAAGGGAATATCATCAGCATGCTACTGATGCTAAACGATGTGCAAAGTTCCCCTCCTAGATCACTGGCCAAAAACAGCACTTGAAATTTCACAGTGTTTTCAGTGTATTTTAGAACCAAAGATAAGTATGTGAGAGGCAAGGAACAGCCTTCAAACTAGAATAGTGACCACTCCCATCATGAATGAAACACACACACACACACACACACACACACGAGAACATCTTTACAGTTCAAAAGCTCAATCAGTATACCCATTTTTTTCAATTACCATCAGCAAAGTTTGCTAAAGACATCATGGACTGGAATGGAGCCCTTATCAAATGCTTTTGTTTACTCTATAAACACGACACCTGCATGACAGCACCTAAGTATTTTCTGTGAATCTCAAGCAAGATTTCCCTAGAGGGCTTCTGTTGCAGCCGTTGCTCTCYGAGAGGAATTTAGTGCAGAAGTTAATGTATGGGCACTCCACAGCACCTATCCTGTATCTCAAGACATGTATTCAAGAGGGGACAGAGCTCTACATCTGCACAAGGTGGAAAGACACTGGCCCACTGCACAGTAAGTGAAGAGGAGGTGGCATTCAGACTATTAAGTACTTGTCTCAAAATGTGCATACTCTTCTCCAATATTGATAACACAGAGCGTCTACCTACCTGAAACACCTGCTTTAGAAGTTGTTAACTGATAAATTTAATGCAAAACTCATACTCCATGCTCCCTTGAAGTTACCTTCATACCTTTCTACCATAAAGAAATGCTTATTACAAATATAAAATATACATAAAAAATACCCAGTACCAGAAATGTTTATGCAATGCCTTATTTGAAAAAAGAGTATACCATTCTGCAAGAAAAACACAGTGACCTGGATTTTAAATCAGATTCAGCTTATCTAAGAGGCCATGGAACACACTGAACAGGAACAAACCTTCCTGGTATTTTAGRCCTTTGCTAGGACAGAATAACGGGACGACCGAATGAGCCAGCAACAAGCTTCTGTGTGACCTTGCACACCAGAGAAATAGAGGGCTAAACACCGACAACCTAATCATTAAACAAGAGATGGAATGAGTACTGCTGGGCTAATGGGGCCCAGAATAGCTGCRTATTTGCAGTTAACATTGAAGGAAAAAAAAAGAAAAATCAAGGATGCTGTAAGACAAACATTGCCCTGTTTAACTTAAGCAATGCTTGAAATACACTGTGTTTACTGGGGTTGGCTCTAACATTGCCCAAGTCACACTGATAAGCATCAGAAAGTCACAGCAGGCTAATACTCTTGAAAGAAATCATCTTGGTCTCATACACAAGGCGGATGCCATTTTCAGGAGAGTATTTGCTAAGGAGGCTATGTTTAAGTTTGTACCATGGGATCCTCCTATCCTTTTCAGACCCAAAGCAGCCATACTAAGATGAACCAAAAGAAACCAAGGGATTTAGCTGTTAACTTCTCATTCAAYTGAGACACTTGCGTTCAGCTTCCCTAAAAAAAGAGCATCTGTAAGTACTCCACCACAAAACACACTCTCCAAAGTCAGAAAGATTTTGCATCTGAAGTGCCGCCCAGCAAACTCATTTATGGGATAACTAATGACTTAGCAAATATTCATTTAGCATAGTGCTTCAGCTGCCATGCAAGAATAGTGCTTGCAAAAGCTGAAACACTCCCCATGAACCAAATCCATGCACTGTTAAACAGTTTTTAAATAAAATACCCCAAGAAGCTATTCTAAACCGCAAAGACAAAACCCTGAGATATAACAGTGAAGAATGACAAAATAGTGGAAGATATGGAGGAAAAGGATCAGGTAGCACCAAAAGGCCTTCTAGCAAACCTTGCCAAAGCTAAGAAATAATGGCAAGGCAGGCTGGCAGTGAGAAGCCTGCTGGATACCACAGATATGTACAAGGATTGCTAGTCACACCAAGCCTGCGCAACCACATCTACAGCATGAGCCACTTGCAGCCACAGCATCTTCCTGCTGGGTAGAAACACCACTGCAAAAACAGGGTGCCTTGAATGGAGCAGAGAACAGGCTTGGAGCTTGATCTTCCCCATTTAGGAATATCCTCTCTTTCAAATCAGTGTTAAATCACCTTTCAAACAAAAGGGAAGCCCATAATATACTGAAACTGTTCTAGGGAAAAATTACTTCTCCTTCTACACTGGAAGAGGTACTGCATTCAAAAAAAGGTTAAGCTCATACAATGTTTGGACTCAATAATCCCTGTTTTACTCCAGTACAAACTACTTAGAACTGCAGCCAGATGTTCCTGAACATCAGGCTAATTCCACAATATTCATTTGTGCATGGAACGAAGCCTAGAGGCAAGGGCAGGATTCCATTTTCCAGCAGATATTTTGTCTTTCAAAGTCTAAAGCTTTGCAGTGCACCAAGGCGGCCACACAACGTACGTTTCATTTTCTGCTCCATTGGTCTTGTTCTTGCGCTGCTTCTGCTCATTGCTTGCTGGGGGTGTCTGTCCCATTGCAGGTGGCTTCCGTTTCGCTAACATTTTTCGTTGCCTTTCTATTTCTTCCCGTTGGGAATTTATCCTTTCCTGTTGCCTACAAAGAAGAGGGCAGAAAAGACATGAAGCACAGAATTAATGAGGTATTCCCAGTTGTTTTCAGCATCTGCTCTTAACACAATGAATTTCAAATCAGTTGTACTTGTAAGTTAAATGTTTTTGTACARAAAAGGGAGTAGACACCAGACATTATGACCAAGAGTTTTTAAAAGCATTTACATAAAAGAAGATTCTTTTCCTGACCCACAGAAACCTTTCAGTGAGTGAAAGGTTTTATTCATGAAGAGGATAACCCCAAAACAAGGAGCTTCTAACCTCAGGAAAACCCAGGCATCTGTGGTAAGTCTCTAACTTTCCACAAACTCTTTCCTACAAGGCTCTGTTCTGAATCTGAGACTTTCCTGTTAAAACCACTCCTGAAGTCCAGCACTGTCTGAGAGAGGATTCTTCTGCTTCACAGCTATGGATAAACTATCCTTAGTTCTCTAAAATATAACTAATACCACTCCAAATTTCACTAAGAAAACAGTCTCTCCAAGGAAGAAGATTTTAAAATTGTCTGGTTATTTTACAGCGATAGGAATAGAGATTTTTCTGTAAATGGCTTAAGAATTTACACAATTCGCTTTTTAAAAGGGACTCATATTGCAGCTAAAAGATTCCAGATATATTTTACCATCTCTTATGGCACAAGCTAAGGGAAAAAAAACCATATAAAATCCTTAATCTGTACTTAACAGGAGCTGCAACTCCCTATCAGACTACAGTGAAGTGAGCTGATTGAAAGGGATCATACATAGCTCAAGCATGCAATTAATTTGCAGAGTGCTGCTTTAAAGGTCTAGGCCAGCTAGGAATTCACTGGATGCTTCCATTAACACCCTGAATAAAGGGGTTTCTGGTCTTCATTTCCTGGTATCTGCAGCCCCTTTCATAACTGGTGCCAGAAGGCAAAAACATCAAACTGTGGGTTTTTTTATTTGTTGGTTTTCCCTGTTTTAAGCTTTTCTACTTAGTATCTTGCCTCCCTCCCATTTTTTGTTTCTTTTTTAAAAGAAAAAAAAAAAAGTTAAACAGCCTTCTTTGCTCTTTTAGCAAAGTTTACTCTTTTCCAACCCAGAAGCCAACTGAGACTATTTGATTCCAGTTTCAGGTCACTGGAGCTCTAAACAGAATTAGATTTCTCACTGGCACTAAAAGATTCCCATTGCTAGAACCTGCCACTTGCTGACTTCCTCACGGATCCTTTCATACATCAGCCACACCGTTCTCAYGTTTTGACATGCAAGGCACCACACACAAGTACTTAGTTTTTCTTTTTCTGTCTCTGAAGATAAAAATAACTCCTTTCATCCTCACTTGATGAGGTTCTGGAAAGCATAACCATCCGTCCACTGCTCAGTGAAAGACGCGCCGTGCCGCACTGTAGTGAAGTGCCCCAGCCTCAGTCGGTCCTGCATGCTCTTATCTCTGCATGCCATCTTCTCCTGTTTCGACTGAAAACAAAACACGTTAAAATATAAGCCATGAACTAGCAGCCGAGAACTCTGCCATGTTTTAAATTACTACCAACTCTTATCACTATTCGTTGTTCTAGTACTGCCGATCTGAAGCCCAGTGGAAAAATAGTCATTGATCACATCACTGATGGCGTTTCACAGCTCCTTTTCTGTGACATTTCAGGGCCCCTCTCCTTCCCATTACTGTTGACGAAGCTCACTCATCCTATCACGACTTGAATTCAGTCTAGCAGTTGAATTAAAGCTGTCACTTCATATCAACAGGTTAGCTAGACTCCAGATTGGGCTCTGATCAGGCCGTTATTCACTCACACAGGAAATCAGGGAAGAAAATGAAGTTTGGATCAACTTTTAGATTAAGATACAGTGACCAGCCAGCTCAGTTCCAGACAAGCTCCACTTCCAGACATAATACAATCTCAATTAGGTCAACAACACACATAAAAAATAGTGGTGGTGCCTGACACAGTATTTCCTGTAAGTGAAAGGAAATTTCAAAGGCCTGAGATGAGAACAGCAAAACTTCAGTCAGTCAGGATTAAAGATGAACCAGCAAAGCTCCTCACTGGAGTTATAAACTGCTTGTCTGAACATCAAGTCTACACAATACTTAGCTCCGAGTTACAAATCCTCACAGAAAGGGGAGCTCCACTTAGAGAACAGTCAGCTCTGCAGCAAAAGTAAGTCAAACAGACACTGCGTACTGGCCAGCACCCTGCTATTTTCTGCCCATCCAGTGCCCATAAACAATAGATGCAATTGGCCAACAGGTGAAGGAGCAATGAAACCCCCACACTGTTTAATCATCAGGAAATCTTTCCACACTGCAGCAGGCTGGAAGCTGGTAAACAGCAGCATAGCACTTTCCCAGAGCCTTAAAGGGGTTGCTCAGAGTTGCTAGACAAAGCAACAATCACCACTTTGCACTTCAAAAGAAGGAAAAGTTTGAAGAGTTGTGGAAAGCCTCCTGATCACCTTTTCTATTAGAAGCTTCTTGCTCATCGTTACACATCTGTTCAACCGCTCTTTGTACTTCTCCAGCATCTTCTGTTGTTCATCAATCTGCCGTCTCAAATCACAGTTGGCCTAGAAGGAAACAGAAAGGATGAGTCCTCCACTTTAAGCCACAAGAGAGCCAAACCACACATTGTGCAGGAAGATATTTCTCCAGCTAACCGTTGGCATCTGATTAGGAAAAAAAGCAAACTGGCAGGATAAGGCAACACACTAGGATCTTCTTATCAATACTTCCAAGCCAATCTCTTCAATCTTTAGCCTATGCAAGCCTCAATACTGCTCCAAAACAGCAAAGTGCTGTCACTTCTTTTTACAGATGAGGAACTAGAGGACATAGAAACTAAGCACATGGACAATGTTTTTTTCTCAACAGTTATGACCTTGCCACATCTACCAAATCCCCCAAAAGCTTAATAAGCCCTAGAGTCTCCTCCCCTTTCCAGTCACAACTAGCTGGTAGGGGAAAGGTGCACAGGACTTCCTTTGCACTTTCAGTGAAATTCTTATTAGAGGCATTGTCCATCAGCCCTGATGATAGACATTGCTCCTGGTAACAGGTGCTGTTTTGAAGATCACCATGGTATTCAGTTTTTACTGAAGAATAGTAACAGATTAGAGAAAGCTTATTCTTTAGATTTAGCCAAAAGATGTCCCTATCATCTCCATACATTTCAGCGGCTCTCATAAATGAGCAGTTGAGAACACACCTGAGAAACACATTATTAAAAGAAAGACAGATGCATCTCCCTACTATGTAGTAGAGGCAAATGTTTCTCATAGGAAACAGGTTAGCTAGTGCAAGAGATCAAAGAAAGGCCATCCCCAATGCTGAGGAACACAAACATCTGAGCTGGTGCTTAGCTACAGCACTGAGACTACACTCTACCACCCCACAGTCATTAGTGTGACTCGTGTGAATCTCAAGGATTCCAGCAGGCCCAGGCAGGGTAACTATCCACCCACTGTAGTTAGTCTACAACTCAAACAACTCTCTTACTTACACGACTTGACTAGATTTGTTTCACTTTGTGAATGTCCATTCTGCAAGTGTTATAGGATAAAAAAAAAATCCTTCTCTACAGCCTAGCTGTCACAAACATTCTAGGTAGCTTTAAATAGCATGTTTTAGAAGAGCTGTCCCATTTTAAATACTCACTCTTAATAAGTCATCTATCCTCCCCTCCTTCTTCTCCAAGTCAGAATTCTTACTGTTTTCTAGTGCAGATATTTTTTCCATTGTGAGGTCAGACTGCAGATAAAAATTGCCATAAGATACATGTAAGAAAAAATAGCTTGCATTTCACGTAGTTAAGTACATCAGTCTTTAGTTCTTTCTACTCTGAATAGTTAGATCTAAGGGGAACCCCAATCAGAAGACATGCATACCACCCCTTATAAAAATATTTCAAACTCAGGATTCCAATTAATGGTAGAAGAAACCAGGGGAAGACATTAGGGTGTTCTTGATAATATCATCTGAAAAATAAAGTCATCACTAGGGAATCACTCCCCAGTTACATATACAGATTTCTTATTTAGGGCTAGCAAGCATTTGTCCTTGTTCTGTAAAAAAAGATGCTGGTTCTGAGCAGAGACTTAATTCCAGAGTTATCTAAGTCCTCCAAATTCCATTCTGGAATTAATACCATGAAATAACAGGAAAAAATTGGCAAATTAGACTCTGGTACTACTCTATGCACTCCCAGTACAAGAAATATCCCAAGGAATCCCTATTAACATTGCGCATCAAGCAAGACAAGCCACAAATCCAAAAGACAAAGAGGAGGCCTGGGAAGGTCACCTCCCTTGTGCCATCATTTGGTTTATGCTTCCTGGCAGCCTACAGAGGAAGTTTGTGACAAAACTCTTGTCACTGAAGGCAAGAGAAAAGGCTGTCTGTTGAAAATCTAGGCTGTGTGCACTCAGCCAAGCAGCAGGAGGATTCTTTAGCAAGTGACCATTAGGTCCATTTATCAAATGCATAAACATGCTTGCACTCTGCAAGATGAAGTCGTGCTGCGGGATCGCGCTGCTGCATTCGAGGAGATTTCATCATGACTCACCTTGCCTCAGAGCACTTAGAGGGCATTAGCACTATCTGAAAATGCTACGGACATCACACTTGCGCTGACTTGCTTTTGGCATTGTCAAAGGTGATTCAAGCTGGGAATGACTGAAGATATTTCTTTTCCCCTATGAACCCCAACTAGGTTAGGAAGGGAATAAAGCCTCTAGTCCTCTGGAGTATCACAAAGCTGATTGGTGGCAGAAAGCTAAGATAGCAGGTCAAGCTTTCCAATGCAAACCCTATGGGCATGTTACAAGGAGGAGACCCCCTTGCTCACCCAACTGGCATCACTGTTATAGAACAGCGGTGTTGGAACAGCACTGAGAAAATTCTCAAAGGTATTCCTGGAGGTTCTTGAGTCACACTACCCTTCTAACACAAGATTTCTCCATGTACTAGCAAGAAATAGGAATCTTCAACAGACAGCCTGAACAAGACAGACAACAGGCCCTAGTGCGATGACCAGGCCCAGAGTTTATCTGGTGATGTCCCCCAAGGTACAATTGCAATTCTTCATGTGCAAAGAACTTGTACCACCTGCTGGGGAAAAGCAGAATGAACTTTGCCCACCCACAAAATTGCCTCTGACACAGACTGATGTGAGAAAATGACTGACACAGAACTGACAAGGTCAGTCACAGAGAAAYTGGGGATGAAAAAGATCCAAAGAAGATTAAAAGCGGGCTTGGAGAAGAAATGAGCAAACTGCATTGCAGATGAAGCCAAATGCCTTTATAAAAACAGATGAAGAMGACACAGCTGAAAGTATATCTTGCCATAAAAGTCACAGGACTACTGGTAACAGATTAAAGGACATCAAAAAGATGACGATAGTGTCAAAAGAGCCTCTTGACTCCAGCTCAGACTATGGATATTTGTACTGCAGGCTGCGTGAACACACCCATGATCCAGCACTTGAAAGGACACCTAAGTGATCATTATAACCACTTCCATTCGTGTCTTCAACTAGAAGGAGAGGAAGAACATTCGGGATACAACCCAAGGGCAATGGGTAGAGCTATCCAAGGTATTCCTTTCGTGAGGATATTCTCATGCAGTCAAAGAACTGCTTATGCTGCTGMCAGAAAAGCCGCAGTAAAAGGCTAAGCTAGCTGCAACAGCAGCAACAGAAAAATATCCTTTACAACATAAAGAACAAAGTTCAGAGCCATTCACTTTGACTAGCAGAGTTACAGATTGAATTCCAATTGCTGTTCTTTTCACTGGAAACATTATGTCTACTACAAGTGGCACCCTGTGGTGTGGAAGACAGGCTAGATTGAACCTCTATCTCACATTCCAGGGTTATATCATCCAGCAAGTTATACCTGTGACTGTTTGTGCTGGATGGAAATCTGTTTTTGGGAAGTGCAGGAATGCTCAGTGTTCCCTGATCCTGTAGAAGATGGGCTGCCTTGCTGGGCCTGCAAAAGAAAGTTAATGTATTGTTATATGCTCCATGACTGTAAGCATCCATGTAGATACATTTATCTTACATGGGAGGTGCAGTCTGGCCTTGGCACAGTGCTTTTACGTTAAGATTTAAGAATGCATAAAGAGATTTAGTTCATTAAAACACAAGAGAGTCAGTATCTTTCAAGAAGTCTGGCCCAATCTGCTAAAAGACAAAGATTTAAAAAAATCTAATATAATTCATGTCAGCTCATATTAAACTAAGTCAAAGCAAACAGTTCTCAAAGCARGACCATACTCTATTCATTTGTTCTTCTGCTTCTAGCAGTTTAGCCTCTCAGATGCCACTACTTTGATGTACACATTTTGAACAGTTAAACCACACATCACGTTAAGCAGGCAAAGCCTGGGGCCTAGAATGCCTCCCAAGGAAGACGAACTTACCATAAGATGGTAGACTCAATCATCAATAAACCAGGCTGCACTTGAACCACTGTCCCATCCCTTAGCTAGACACTTCCCCTGGGATTCAAATCTTTTGAGCTGCTCACCGAGACAAAAGTAAAACAGAGGCCACCTCCCCTCTGCGCCAGCTGCTCATTCTCTAGTCGCTGTTTCGCCAGCATCACCGACATCAGCGTTGGCAGAGCAGAGTGTTCCTCCTGCGGTTCCTTTGCTGTGGTGCCATCTACCCCATACAGCGGCTGCTCCACTCGCCGCTGTAACATAGTCAAAAAAAATACAATGAATTTTTCCCCCCTCCAAGCGATTCTCTGGCTCTGCCAAAACTGTTGTCAGTGAAGTAGAAGCTCAGGAATGGGCAGGCAGCGTGATTAGGATCTGATAACTCAAACAGGACTCCTGCAGGGATCATTTCAATGGCAGATATTGAAAAGGAGATGAAGTTAACAGTAGTAAGAAATAACAGTAGCAGGGGAATACACAGGACAGAATTTCTTGCGTGTGCCTTTCCTTTGCAACTATGTGTTTTGGAGCCAGTGAGGCACAACAAGCTGGAAATGCAAAATTCTCAGTAGATCGTGACTCTGTTCTATACATTCAAAGTTAAAATATTTGATGTTTTTTAAGGATTGATCTTAAAACAGCCAACGTCACAATAGGTTTTTGTTACTTGACAAAGTAAATCCAACCACAATTCCTCATTGGTAGCAGCCTAGCCACGTCTAGGGCCCAAACATCAAGGTAACCTTATTGTTGTCATAAAAGCAGGGACCCGCGAGATAAATACTTTCCTGCAAGATAAATACCTTCCCCAGATCTTTAAGAGGTGCATTGCAACTAAAAGGTCCAGCTGCTTCACTGCGGCATAAACTCATTTTCCCACTGTTATACTGGGAACTTTCTTCCCCAACAGAATGTTCGTGTATGACAGTGAACTGGCGAGAACCTGAAGGGCTCTGCTGCTTCTCTTCTGCTCAGAGGAGCAAAGCATTCAAATTAGTCAAGGGATTTGAAGACTGGAAGTAAGGTCCTGAACACGTTCTGATTCTGCAGCACGTTTTGGCTGCAGGAAGCACAGCACAAACTGCCCCACAGCTTTGCAGAAGGGCTACTTTTGTTACAGACATTTTAACACTTTGCTGTCTTCCTAGACCATGCTAATCTCCGTAATTTCTATAAAAATATTTATCTCTTTTTTTTTTTGGGGGGGGGGGGGTGGCAGAGGGAAGGGCACTTATCTCAAACTGTTGATATTCAGTTTGTAAGAAGAGGATTGAGCATGTGAATGCACAAAGTTCCCACTAAGAACATGCAAAAGGTAAAAATTTGAGCTTCAAGAGTAAAGGACAGAAAAAAGGGTAAGAAAAAATCTCTCTATAAGGAAAGAAACTAACTGACCCATGTGAAACTAGCTCCAGCATCAGTTTTGACTCTGTTCTGCTCAAAGGCACGTTCTGCTCAAATTTCTATCTACTCAATTCACAGAAATGCACAAGCAGCAAACTGAGAATCTACCACTGTCCCATTACGAATATTGGAAGGAAGTGTCATCTACTGAAATACAGAACTATCCCTAACACATTGCTCATTTGCAATGCTCAGGGATGTTCTTTTCCATTAAACTTCTCCTTGAGGAAAATTAGTGAGCTAATGTAAGACAGGCGAAGGGCCACTGAATTAACTAGATATATTTTAATTTTTACAAACATCAAAAATATCTACGGGCATACCTGAGGCGCTCCATTAAAGCCCTGTTAAGCTTCCAAAAATCTAGTTCAATGATGGACTCTGATCAGAGCATCCAGCGCCAGGATTTAGTTCAGTTCACATTCAGGAATTGTGCAAAGATCTCTTTAGAGTAATGGAATCTGTAAAGACTTGGCATTGGTTTTGGGATACTAACCTTTCCTGTAATGCTCTACACTCCTGTCACACTCAACAAACACTGACCAATTTTAAAGAGGTACCCAGGTAATGTCGAAAACTAGAGATCAAGCACCAGAGACTTTAAAACTCGGCTTAACTAGCTTAAAGAAATGTCTTTCACTGCTTTGTGCTAAAATGGTTTAAAAACACAGGTTATTTRTTCACATTCAGATCTTGCAGAAATGCTGAGATAGCAAATTTGAATTGATATAACAAATTTGAATTGATACAACAAAAAAGAGAAACAGCAGCCAATGTGCACATACATATGTCTCTTTGTATGCTTTTGCTAATAGTTCTCACAAGTCACATACATACAGGCATGAAGGAAGAGAACTTCCCAATATATCTATGCTTTTTGGTAGTCCCAAAGGACCCAATCCAGATCGATGCATCATCACACTACTGCTATAAAAACATCTAATCCTGTCCAAATCCAAGGAAAAACCTCAAGAGTTACTGTGGCATACAAAATAACCAAACAGCAAATATATTAGTTCTGCTTAATTAGGAGCAGCTACATAACTAACCACAATCTTAACACAAGTATTGGTGCTTAAAGCATGCAAGATCATTTACTATGGGACTAATAACTGGTACAGGGTCCTGCATGTCAATGTTGCTGCCACAATCCCTTATCACATTTAAAGAATTTCCACGTAAAAAGTACAGGGACTGAACAGGGAAGAAGTCAAATCACTCAGCAAGAGAACTAACTTTCCTGTTCAGAATCTTTTCTTACCTGTCTGAATCACAATTACCAGGCTCATCAATGCCATGCACTGTCCCGAGGGAAACTACTCACCGGTAAGGGGTTGGATAAGGAATGCTGTGGTGAAGATCTGGCGACAGGCGGCACGCTTCTGCCGGGACTGGTTCCTGGGCCACTTCCCCCAGCAAACTGGCCAAAGGAAAAATATTTGGTCATCAGTAACTCCACAGAAATACTCCATTTGAGCAAATCAAAGAGAGAAAGAACACATTTATCTTAAAGTCTAACAATCCCTAAAGCCCCAGGGACCCATTTAAGTGATCTGAAGCAAATGCATGAGGAAAAACCTAACCACATTGCTTTAAAATGATACACACGCAAAAAGGCACAGAGAAGCAATTGTCACGACACCAGAAACACATACTTTAGAATTTGTGCATTTTTCATTTTAAGACCAAAAAATATAAATCCACATGCCTGGAGATAAACTAATTACTACCTGTCCGGAATTAGCAAGTCCATTTGCATTTGCTATGTGCAGATATATTTAAATGTGCACAGACTAGAAGGTGTACAATTTCTATTAATGCATCCATACCAGTCACTGACAAAGACAAGATACCCACCTTTTTAGTGAATAACTGCTAGGTTATTCACTAAAAAGAATATTGATATTTAGTTTGTCCATTGCAGGTAGATTCCTTTGCAGCATTGGATCTTTATTATAACATGTCTGCACAAGAAAAGAGCTTCAATAACCCCATCAGAGATCCAGGTTCTAAAGGAAATCAACCTAAAATCCACTCTTATATGGGCACTCTCTCATAAAAAATGTTTATCAACTCAATTGTGTCAACTGTTATAAGAAAAGTTGACTTCAAAATCAACTTCCAAAAATCCCAGATTCTCTACCTATTCAAATTTGGATATAAAGTTTAACACAGTCAATTGCTGGCTCGAAGCTGTTATTTAACATGACATGATTCCATCTGCAGAAAGATGTTGCGTATGTGGATTCAAAGAGATTTTCCAGAAAACGTTAAAGATGCTTACCTCAAAATAATCACTAATTTTATGTCCTCTAGGAGTGCCTTTTCCTAAAAGGGAAAAACAAAGGGGAAAACATTGTATTTCTAAATGCAGAAATTATGCCATTCCTCCTTTACTTTGACACYCCTTTCTGCACATAAAGATGTGACATCTACTGTAACAAAAGTTTCTGCCCAACAGAAAACTGCCCCAAGGTGGGACCTCATGCTGCAATTTAGTGGCTGTACAGTTGAAAGCTTAAAGTAACTCAGTTCCAATCAAACAATATTTATAGTCACGAAAGTACTTAAAAACACCTAGTGTCATAGAGTATTGCACAGGTTCTCCAAAATTTCCTTCAAGATAAAGACAGAGCAAAGGGTACTTTTACTCATTTGCCTTCACATAAATTACTGCACAGAAGAAGATTAGCAGTGGCTTAATAGTACCTCATTAAAACTTAGCTTTTTCCCCTTATTATTGTTGTAAAAGCAATCCTGTCAACACAGTCCTCATTGCTTTCTTGTGGAAGAATAAAAAAAAAAAAATCAGAAATCTGTTTCTACACCCATTTACTAGAGAACCTGAATTTGGACTAAAATACTAAGAGTTTTTTCTTAGCACTTTAAGACAGCAGTGCCTGCTTTATGCTTAAGTACAGTTTGTTCTCTAGCTATCTGTAATGGCGAGAACCCACTCTAAGAAGGAAGACGTAAGTCTCAAAAAGCAAGAAAGAGACAGTACAGCCTGTATTTTGAAGCCTGGCTGCTGTCTATCTAGTGACATGGGACCAAAACAACACTTCAGAGAAGCCACATTAAGCTTTCGGGCAGTCTGTCCCACAAAAACGCAACAGTTTGTGCAAATAAGCTGAAGACAAGTGTTTTCCTGCCAAAGAGGATAACAAGGCTCCCAGAGAGAACTACACCATCGTGGAGTAGTTAGTAACAGGCTGCCTGATACACCCTTGAGAAGGGCTATTAGTTTCCTAGGACACTGACTGTGCAAAACGCGTACAAATTACCGACCGTTTGGAGATCCTGCAGCGGGGTCAGGAGAAGGGATTACCTTGACTGGTTTCATATGCATCTGCTTTCCTTTTTCTATTCCGCTGGTCATTCTGTTTTTTCTCAGGAGTCTGTTAAACAATACTTCAAAATTAACATTTCTGCAGTTATTCCAAGATTTAAAGAAAATACCAAAATACAATAATCAACTTCACTTCCCCAGGGGCCATTTCATTTCTCTGGTGTGTTTGTTTCTACTGCTGGTACTTAAAGAAACAATAGCTCTCAGATAGCTTCTACCTTCAGATACACACATTGCAGAAAGGAGAGAACAAGGTTAGCAATGAGATTATTTTTTTCCCATTCCACTTGTAAGTCAGCCCCTCTAACCCAGTTACCTCACATGGGTGCAAGGACAAGCGCAAGCACTTACAAAACCTGCATGGACTGTTTCAGGATGATCACATTGCTGGTACAAAAGCAGTAAAGAGGCTGAGTAGAGACCCAAATGACTGCAGAACTGTTTCATGTTTGAGYGAAGACATTCAAATTTAAAGATGGGTTTAGATGGTTCTGATGCCCTTGCAGGTGCCTGTAAGAACTAGCTGTGAAGGAAGAGCAGAGGTGCAGGCAAGACGAATTGTCCTGGCGGACCGTGATGCTAGTGGATTGTAAATTTGGATGCATCTGCTCAAGAACTATGCTGTCTGCTGGTGCCCATCCACAGCCTTATGCAGAGCAAGGGTCAAGATTTCTGGGAAAGATGGCAGCCAGAAAAGAGCTACAGATTGAGTTACCCATTTGGACTTGAGTCTGCTTTTCATCTGCTCTCAAGAAAGTCAAGGGCTTGTTGCATCTGCTGCTTCTGCAACCAGCCAGCAATCAGAGGGATAGCTCAGCACCAGTCAGCAATATATTTATATGTCCAGGCACAATGCAGAGGTCAGGCAAGAGACCAACGTCTCCTAGATGTACTAGGCCCCTGCATGGCACTACCCCTGACACCAGGGTCGCTTACGCGGCCCAGCCTGCTGCGAACATTAGGAAGCGCTGCAACAGAAATGGTTCCTGAGGTTGCTGGAAGGAAAGGTATCTTGTCATTTCCATCACCACCATCGCTTTTAAACGTCTTTTATCCCAAAGGGCCTCAGCAGTTTCCAAGCTATACGCTTTACACTCATTTTAGTCACCACTAAACAGTGGCCCGGGGCAGGAAGAAAACCACAGCGTGCAAAACACAACACTGGGGGAGGGAAGGCCATGGCCAGAAAGTCTGTGGTAAGCCTAAGTTTCATGCTCTTTGGCAATCAAAGTCCAAAGTCCCCCGTTCAAAGACCTCTGCCAAAGGACTAGCACTCAGTAAGCACAGGAATCAGTCTACCTCCTTTAATAGGATAGAAGGGATAAAGCTTTCCCAGCCCAAGCTCCAGACTTGGCTGTGTTGCCAGGAGATGCTGGCTGCCTACAGGTCCGTGTCACCAGTTGGGCAGTTATTCATATTATTTTGGTAAAAGGATGGAGAGGAACATTAAGACAAAGGCAGCTACTGTGGCTGCAAAGTATTTTCCAGAATGAAGAGACTCCCTAAGTATCTAGAGAGTGATTGGTACCAGCTCCTGCATGTGCCAAGGTCAATGAAATAGTCTTCCCAATCCGTATTAAAAAACAACCCGCCAACAACATTGGAGTGACAGCAACACCGCTGGCTTCGTAACGGCCTCAATGGAATTGCAAGCATTTTAATGAGACTCAGTCTATTCACATACTTGCACAACAAAAAATTTACACAAGATCTCTGCCACTGAGTGAAAAAAAAAAAAAAAAAAGTGGATTTAACTATATCAGCTTGATTTAAATCGCTTTACAGGAGCCGATCAAAAATTATGATTTAGTACTCAGTCTTCCACTACCAGCAACACTTATTGTATAGCGTTTAAAATATCATGTTTTTTAGAAACTGTATTCCACCAGACATCTTGTATCAGTCCTGCCATTGCATTACAGGGAAATATGATCCCAAACTTACCTGATCACTAGCAGAAAGTTCTTTACACTCATAAGAAAAAGCACTGAAGTTTGACATGTTACTTTACTAGCAGAGAATTTTAAAACAAAACTTAACTTTGCAATTCATTTTACTGATTTAGTAAGTGTTTTCCAACAGTTCATCCTCAGGATGGGGGATTAAACACAGTCAAAGCATCAATTTTCACCTCCCCACACTTCCACAAAGCAATTCATGAGAATGCCCAGCTCTGTACAGATTCTGCAAATTCATATATTTGATAGGTAAGGCAAATACTTCCATTAAGGTTCTCTGGCTTTTTATCTGGCCAAAACTGTATCCAAAATCAGCAAATAAATTGCAGTGTACCAGAAAGCATTTTCAGAAAGTGAGATTTATCAATGCTATGTTTTGGGGCTTGRGTGATATCCATCTGTTACAGCAGGAAGTTTCAGGAAGAAAGGTCTCACAACATGCTTGGAAGGCTGCAGGAGTTAGATCAAAACTGGATTCTTTGCGCCCCAACCAAAGATGACTGCCACCCATTCTCAAAGAATTCCTTCTATACCACGTGAGTTCAATCACATCTAATTTAAACCCAATTACAATCAAGGATTGCGCCTGCTTACCTCCAATTCTTTATCACTCAGAGAGCCCACGCTGCACAAGCTCTGGTTTGAAGACTCACTGTTCAATGGACCCTAGTGGGAAAAAAATAAAAAATAAAAAACAGGCAAAAACTGTTAGAAACAACCTCCGTACAAAGCAGAAATGTCCTATCCAACCTTCCATCTCTCAGCTAGCTGTGCTGCTCTATCACACAGAGCAGCAGCACAGGTCAAAGACCTAGACATACAATGAGGGACTGAATTTCAGAACTCATTTGCAGCAAGACAGAAGCTGGGCTGCCAGTTGGATGGTCTCTTCCTCAATATACTGATCCAGTCTTTGCAATGCTACTTCTGTACCAGTTTACATGCTGTCATATTTAACTATATCATCCAAAAGCAAAGGCAACATTCATGAAGAACTAAGATAGCTTGAGAACAAAACTTCTGATTTGGTGGGTAAACAGTTAATAGTTCAGCTCTTCTGGCAACCATCCGCTTGACCAGGGGCTAAGAATTTAGAGGCATCTTTTATCTGGCACGGCAGCTATTACTGCAACCAGGTGCTGGCAGTGCCACCAATTTTCTTTTTCTTTTTTTTTTTTGTTTTTTTTTTGTTTTTTTTTGTTTTGTTTAAATGCATTATTTTAGCACAAAGAAAATGAAAAAGTGACAACTGTTATGGGTGACAGCTCTACTACTGTTAACACAAGACAGAATCTCTCTTGCTAGGCTCACGCACCCATGACTGACCTACCACTAGAGCAGTTGCTCCTACCAAGGCAAAGTGCCAAATGAGCAGGCTGGAATGGATCTACAGAAACAGTAACTAGGTGTCTAGAAGACCCAAGGAGCATCTTTGCAGGCTCTACTAGATACACACCTGCATTTTTAAGCATCCAAGTATTTTTATAAGTTATTTTCTAAAATGCATATCAAATCTGTCTTTTAAAAAAAGAAGAGTGAATCACGCAAACTCACCGATTTAGCCTAGTGCTCTGACACAAAATATCCTCCCACAGACCTAACTTAAGAAATCTAGACTAATTTGACAAAGATAAAAACACGATTCACAACTATTGATGGAATGTATTAGCAGAAAGAATGACATGATAAAAACACCTCTCCATTAATAACTTGCAAGCATCTTCTCCCAAAGATTCTATTTTGGCATTCTTATTTTTGCAGTAACCACTTCCCACCCATCAATCTTTCCCCAAGGCTAAACCACTTCTCATTGTGCCCTTGAATGGGAAACTTATGGGCGGGTAGGTGGGAACAAGTCTAAACAACACCGAAAAATCCCAAAGTTGATTCCTTCAGAGGGTAGCAGCTCTCCCTTCCCTTCTCCATGTAAGGCAAACACTCCTGCCAAATTAAGCTTATGACACAGCCTCCTTGTTGCTACCCTCAGCCCACACCAGCCCAACTCAAAGCAACCGTCTACCCAACGTAAAGCTTCAGCTCCTACCCCCTGGATTTTGCTTTCAGTGCTAACAAACAAATTTGTTTCTCCTAAGAAGGGAGGCCTAATCACCTCAAGCAGAAAAAAAATACCAAAAGCTGAACAGTTCAAGCAGCAAAACATTTAACTTTGAAGTCTGGCAAATATTATAGGTTCAATTTCTTCTACGTTAGGGTTTTATTGCTTGGCCAACAAGACTTAACCCAGCTGAAGTGTCAACACTAACCTTAGCTACAGCCATATGAAAGCCTCATTGACAATAAACCTAAGGGATCCGACAGCAAGAGGTAACAGAAGGTTAAGCTTTTCACCCGGGTACAAAGCCTGTTTAAAAACCGCACAAAAGCTGTGCTAAAATCCTTCACTTCCGCGAGCGCAAAGCCCGGCAGCGCGCTCAGGACAGCGACGTCGCGCGCAAGCGCTGGAGCCTTCCCAGCTGCAGGAGCATCTCTGTAGCGGAGCATCCACAGGGCCCGTCCAGACAGGTCGGGGCTCTGACATGATGAAGATGAAAGTGAAAGTCGCTTCCATATGTGCTGCTGCCTCCATTTCGTACATGGAGAGCAAATGACAGGAACAGCTGCTCCCAAAATGCCACATTTGAGCTTTTCAGGAACACTACAGTTGTAAGGATATTACAGTGGCTTAATAAAGGCCCATATTTCACCCAATTGTCCTGCATTCCAGGACACACTGCTGAAATAAGGCGGTGAAACCACCTACAGTGAAAAAAATGAAAAAAAAAACCTTAAGATTTCTCTGGAAATACAGCTTTCTTTATATGCAGTGCTAAAAATCCACTTGATTTGGATTAGAATGCAAAGTTCTAGAAAAATGCACAATATGAAATTCATAACCTTGTTTATTTCCAGAACCACAACCCTCACACTAGCAATTCCACACTGGAAATACACAACTAAAGAGAAATTGGAGTCAAACTCATTCTTTGCAGCTGCAAGAGAGCAATTCAGTTCTGATCACAGACTCCTGAAGAGTAAACATACTGTTTGCTCTAGTTTAAAGCTTCTTCTGCAAACAAAACTAACACAACCATTAAATTCACCTCAAGGCAGTAGTAGACAGAGTGAGAAGGAATTAACAACTTAAGAATCACAAAAAGAGCAGCTTGGTGTTGGGTCCATAAATCTAAAGTTTGCTGTAGATACACACATATATGCCATGACACTGAAAAAACGCAAGATTGATTCTTTGCAGACCGGTTTTGATCTGTTTCCACCAAGATGAGCTTTCCTTTCCCTTGATTATTCTCCAGAGGATCTTGAATGCAGACAGGATTACAGTATCAGGCCCATCTTACAGGCAAGGAGTTGAAGCACCTTATTCACATCAAACTACATTAGCCAAAAAGGACTCGTTTTGAGTTATTCCTACCATCCTAGCACAAATTGTTCACTTGAACACATCGTACTCAAGGCAGTAAGGATGCGATACCTAGGAGACTTAAGGAGCATGGCCCAGTAATCAGCTGTACCTCTTCTCATGAGTTACGCAATATAAAGGACAGTAAGTTTTCCTGAGGATCCACATAGGCGTTCACAGTTTCACACATACTGCCATAGATCAACTGCTTATAGCAACAGGTTTAGCAAAGAGTATGAGAGAAACTACACATCTGGATGGCCCCTCCTCAACTACGTGCACGTATGCATGTAGAAAAACTCTAATTTGTGCTTTATCATTCTTACCATTTAAATTTAACTCAGTCACTGACATAAGGATAAATATTTCAGTATTTAATTTAGCACAGCACTTTAAGTGGCTRTAACACAAGAGGAATTACAAGAATGAAACTGAATCTTGGGGGGGGGGGGCGGTGGGGAAAGCAGGTAATGGCAAAGAATACCAGCCCGAGATTGTTGTTTGGGAAGTAGTAGTAGGGGATAATAATCTTGCAATTAGCTCATGCTCCAGGAAGAGCTTATCAATTTTGCTCCTGACTTGCTGCATTGGCATCTGGCTTTGCTACCATTGACTACTTTGGGATAATACTGCACTACTCCAGAGCACTTGCAGCACCCTCACTCAGTATTCCCCATCAGGAAAAACAGTGATGGGGCTCAGCAAAAAATGTCAAGTATGCGGGTCATCTCAAACAAGCCCATAGTTTCTGCTGTTTTTACCGAGTGGAGGCACAAGAACAGCACACACTTCCGCCTCCACAAGGAATTTCTTTCCTGAGATAAGCTGGCATATTCTTTTCTCCTTGCAATTCATTTGATAACTGCTGCTTCCAAGTCTGCGATCTACCTATGCCCAACAAAACCTCCACGATGAAAGCAGACGCAAGACCAGCAAGGAMTGTTCAGGCTCCAACTCAAAGGCAAGAACTTAGCAGCATCTACTCACACAAGCTGGGTGGTTATTCCCTTTGCAAAAGCCACAGAAAGGGCTGCAGACAAGGCTCAGTGGCTAAAATGAAAACAGTTCAGCCTGACGATAACTCCCATCTGATCTCCCAAAACATCAGTGCGAGTCAGTCCTCCCTTACCTCTTGCCTATTCAGATCTGTCTACTGCCTTACACGTGCACTTCTCTATTCTCTCTGGCTACCAGAAGTGATCCCCCAAGCTGGTCMGCAACTCGTTCCTGTCATGCAGTCTCCTAATCAGCATATGCAGTTCTTGACCATTAAGACCACATATCAAAAACTCAGCTGCTCTATATCATCTAATGGACATGGGTAAAACTTATTACCACACCGAAAGTCAACTCTAGGAATTCAGGCTGCCAAGCTAGAGTCACGAAAGTGGATTTAGAAGAACATGCTTTGCAAAACTCTCTTGCTAACTCAGCAGCAGGCATCTACTACTCTTTTGCCACAAGAAATTAATCTTCTATCAAAAACAGGCAACTTCTACTACATTCAATGGATTACACAGCTTCCATTTTGACTTCAGAGCTCTCTTCCCAGGATGATAAAATAGTATCTTTACTGATGGCAAACCAGGCAGAAGCATCACACAACCTACCCTGAACATCAGCTCAGTTGTAGAAATAGAACTGAGCTCTAACAACTATTTTGGGGCTACCGTAGCCAGACAACACATTTAAAATAAATACTGTTGTGTGAGGAAGCATCTGAATAATTTTCAAGTATCTGGCATAAAGGAGTGTCCTAGTGCTTTCTTTGGTAGCTGATAGAAGTAATTTGTACGTTTCAAAACATTCTTACTAACTAGCTCTTCTGGTGGCATGTGACATGACTGCGCAGCACTGCTTCCCTCCAAAGAAGACATGGGTATTACCCATATTTTGATCATCGATTTAGTAACTTTGCTACTGAGATGTGAAAGAGTAGAATATACAACTGGCAATTATTGAACTGATTTATAAAGACTCCAGAGTGACAGAGGACCTAGAAGGTTTAGGAAAAAAAAACAATGTAATACAAGTAAATGCTCTTCTTTCTTATGAGACATTCAATTTGGGAGGCAAATGTCCTGCAACATAAGTGACATCTCAGATTATTTTCATTTCATTCTTTATGATACCTCACAGTGGGAGTCAGGGAAAACGTAAGTGTCATCAAGACTAATATTTCTTCAGTTCTAGCACAGGCAACTGGATCTGCAAGATCCTTAGAGTCAGAGGTTGCCTCTCTGGAAATATTTGAGCCTTCTCAGTTCAGCTATATAAAGAAACTGGGGTACACTTGTAGTAGATACACATGATGCAGTTATGACTCACCCTCATTAGCCTGGGGCATATTGTGTGCAAATACACAGCTTCAACCATCACAATTACCTATTTCCATTCTCACCCTGTACAAGTCTCTAGAAAGGGCATAAATTCTTTGGCGTTAACCAGCCTCATATCTTAAACTCAGCACCCAGGCAGGGAGGCAGAGGATGAGGACAGACAAAACTAAACAATGTTATCAGGAGAAACACAAACTACATTTTGTCTTCTGTACCTACTGACCCAAGGAAGAAATCTGAGAAGGCTCGTCAGAATAATGCCTCRAGTGAATATGCTCAGATTTCACCTAATAAGTAAACATAAATGGCAGCTAAATAAGCAAGATGTCAGATGGTCACGCGTTAATTCAAGGACTTGCTTTGTGGATTTGGTGAAGAGTGCCACTTGACCATATGGCAAGAACAGGCATCTAAAGCACTGCTGGCTTTTCAAAGCTGTCTGGTGACCTGGATGAACCACATAACAGTTGCCTAGAAACATTTCTCGCTTGTAAATTTGATTTCATGTATTCACTTTGTGCTTCTAGAGAATATTCGCCAACCACTAAGAATGAAAATTCATCACAGACAGACTTGCAACAGAATCAAGGCATTTGGGATTGCAAATGACCTCGGTCATTGGCTTGTGCCTCTTGATACCAAACAAGACAGCACACAACTGCTTCCAAGACAGTCTAGGATTTCTGTCAACTACTACTGCTACTATAAGGCTCTTCCAGAATCCTTTAACATCGACCGTTAAAAGCATTCTTCTAGTTTCCAACCTGARCATTTATTCTTGTTCACCTCACCCTTATTTGTTTTCAGAAACATATATAAACCTTCCTGCAAGTACGTTGAGGGGGAAGCGGGTTTAAATGCTGCAGTTATATTAAGGACATAAATGAGTACATTAGTTTTTACACAGGTTCAAAATACTCCCTGTATTTATAAACGTCAGAGAAACCTTCAGCAAATGCACTAAGTGATACACGGAGGCACTGCAAGTCAGGAAGCTCCGAGTTACAGCTGCCTGCTGCATCCACCCAATAGGAGAGCATCTAAGATGACATTTCTTCCTTTTATGCAATAAACAGCAACAGAATACCTTCTATCCCAGGAGGACGTGCCAGGCCCAGTCCCACTAGATGGCACTAACTTTCTTTTATGTAGCTTTCCTTAAACACTTAAGTGGAGAGAGCTAAAAAAAATATCTTAGTAGAATTACATAAACTGCATCACAGCTTTCCCAATATATTCCCTTTAAGACAGTGACCTACCAATGCCAGTGCGGAGCATGACGGACGGAGGCTTGGGGGGGTAGGGAGGGAATTTGAAGCACCAACCTGGGAGGGAATGTAGTATCTGAGATTAATACTGCAACCAAGATTGCTGCAACACAGTAGAGTCATGCTATTTCATATAAATGATTGGCTGATCTACTGCAAATTAGCAAGTGTGCAAGTAAAAACATATATATATTCTGTTTGAAATAAGGGCAATGCACTTTAACAGTTTACTGACTAATAAGAAGTAATACACTTTGCTGTATACAACAGGTAAAAATAAAACTTGTTAACACAGGAGCTCTGCTCAAAGTGTAGCCTCCAAGAAATGAAGCTTTGTCTTATTTACATATGCTTTAAGAACAAAACCAAGTTTTTATTATTCACCTGTACAGAGAAAGAATGCATGTTCTTTCTATGCCAAAGAGAGATAAGAACATAATTAAGTCCTTTCAAAAGTTATTCCTTTAAAAGAAATAATTCCTGAATTTCTTCATGGGTATTGAATGTGTTGGCACTATTTTGAGRCAGTGATAGTTTCTGTGTTCTTAAGTCTCACTGACTCTAAGAAACCGTTTGGTTTTACCTGTACCAACATAGTTCAAGAAGCGAAAGTTATGTATTCAGGGGGAAAGAGGCAAAAAAAAAGATAAGAAAGTATATAAAAAGTTGTAGTCTTACATAGAACATGTCTCTCAAAAAAATAACATTACTATGTTATGTAGCACAAGCTTTTAGACTAGCAAATGCCCTAAGATTAAAAAAAAAAGTCTTCAGGGAAAAAAAGAAACAAACAGCAACAAAAAAATCACACCCTTCAGCAATTCACTTAAGTGGTTATTCCTTAAGAACTTTTAGTGCTAATCACCCTTACTACACTACCTCAGCGCTGAACATTTTTAGTTACTCATTCCCCCTCCCAAGGCTTTTTATTGGTTGAGCCCAGACTGAAACAAGAGTCAGAAAGAAAGAGTAGGATTTGGAAGTAAATCATCTTTCAGGTCTGGCCTAATTAACTTTGGGTGGGTTTTTTTTTTTTCTTTAAAGAAATATAACATCTATGAAGTCCGTTCCCGAAATACTTCTAAAAGCTGTCTGAAAAATATGCAGCAGTGATATGCTCTTTTATCATCTACCTTGATGTTGTCCAAAACTCAACATCTTTGTTGAAAGTAAATCGAATTAGCACTAGTTAGACCTCGTTTAAAATGAGTTCTGCCACCATTTCACTGTTCAGAGCRCCTGTCAATTAACAGTAACAACAACATCTGGAGAACCAAGAGCTTAATGCCAGCATTGCAAGCAGCCACACAATGTTATCACTGAGGGTCTTACTCAAAGAAAGGAGCTACTGAACAGTTACGAAGTTGCATATGAGGACAAAGATGGGATTTTCCTAGCAGGTTTGGATCCCAGGTATGTGAAAGTTTACTTTCAGAGAGATTTTTYTTTCGTGGTCTCTATAACCAAGCACACAAGTTCAGCACACTGTACCCACACAGAAGAACTGGATGAACAAATTCCTGGACATATTGACCCTGGCTACATGTTATATTGAACACAATGAACTCGAAACTGTATCCAATGGGCAGCTGAATTCTGTTCTCAAATGTGTACTTTGAGAAAGCTAAAGAGAGGGAAGAGATTCCCACTTCCAAAAGGCGATGTCTCTTGTTTTTTAGCAATTTATTTATTTTGAGATGGGAGGGTGGGGAAATTGTAGATTAGCTACTTTTAGATGTAACTTTTGAGAACTTAGTTACCACCCCAAATATTCTGTATGGCAGAACATCTGCTCATAGAGATCCCATTTTCATTCCTCTTAAACGTACTTCAAGCGAATTAGCAGTCAAAACACAACTATCAAAACAGCACATTCTGCTAGCAAAGGAAAACTACCAACATAAAAAGAAAAAAAAAAAAAAAAAAGAAAAAAGGGAAGCACTGAGCAGGAGTCAGGCCTGTTGCCAAAGGTACTAGACTCACCTTTGCAACACCCACTCCTGTGAACCTGGCCTCCAACAGCTCCTGCCTTCGTGGGTCCAGGCTGTGCAATTCTTCCATCATTTCTGCTGCTACGGGAGAACGACACTAAGATTATGCAATGCACTGGAAGGAGAGAGATTTAATATTTGTGCCACTAATGATACTCAAAAGTCTATTCTGCTGCATAACCATACGCAGGGAGCTTTCTCATAAGAGAAACACAAAATTACTGTGCAATAATAACAGGACCTTGCCAACATATTACCGTATTTAAACTATAACCCTGCTGGAGAGTTTCATCTTCTGCCTGTATTACCAGCCATTTCAAGATCTCTTAATCCAAGAAACCAATTATGTCACATTCTCCCACTGGATGCTCTATTTAAAGGAAAACATGGGAGCAGTGTGTTATGACTAAAAGCTTCAGAGCTTCTCATCTGTGTTCCATGACAAGAAGGAGAAGAAGAAGAARAAAAAAAAAAAAGGCATCATCCTTCACCAAAAATTTATTTTTGGCTAATTCCTGAAATGCTAGATCTCCTAAACTCCGCATTTCACTGAGAGCAGCCTTGATCCTTGCAAGCTTGGAAAGGGGCTGGAAGAATAAAATAACASTTGTCTAAACCTCTTCTTTTACAAAGTAAAATACCTTTAGTGTAACAGGTACAGCTGGATGTACCTGGGCAAGTGACAAACCAATGCAAGGGACGCCATTACCTGAAAGGTTTTATATATGTTAAAATAATAATAGTAAAGCATCGTTGTACAGACAGGTTAAAAATCACTGAATGTAAAATTCAAATCCTGAACGGTGGAAAAAAAAAAAAAAAATGGGACAAATTTCAGTGTTCTTTATCACTGTGAATCACATCTTCCCAAGTGCACCAATCAAATTCATCATTTCCAGAAATGTCTGTTCCAGTTTCATTTCCCGGACTGAGGTAGAGAGAAAAAAAGAGATAGAAGATAAAGATTCGCTACATAAGGAGCATATGCGATGAGGAAAGTTCCTGAAGGGCAGCAAGTGCCCTCTAGATCGGGCGCTGTACAATTGTTCCTTTTATTCACTGTCCATTTTGTCCCTGCCGTTTCCTCCAAGCACTGCACACTCAAGTTGTGGGGGGCCAACAGAATCAATCCGGGGATGTTTATTCAGAGCCTCCCAAAGCAGGAGCGGGTTTAAGACCTAATGGGGGACCCAAGGAGGTTATTAGGGAATTTTTTTCTTTCCCACTCTTTGCATCAAAACCCTACCCAAGCTCCCGAAACAGGAAATCTGGGTGCTGAGGAAAATGACAGTGGGGCTGGGAAGATTCAGCCGTGGAAGCAGCCGGGGGGGGGGGGGGGGCTGCCCCTCCCCCGGTCCCCCATGGCGGGTCGTCCATCCCGGGGGGGGTGGATTTGTCCCGGGGGGGCCCTGGGGAGGGAAGGGCGACAAGTTCCGGAGCCTCTTCCGCCCCCACAGGCCCCATCGGCGCGCAGGGCCTGGGGAAAGGCCCTGCCCGGGGCTGCCCCCTGCATATACTTCCCCCCGGGCGGGGACAGCTCCTACCTGCCCTTCCGCAGCGGCACCGAGCCGGGGGACGAGGCCCTCGGAGAGGAGGGGGAGGCGGGGAAATAAATTAAAAAAAAAAAAAAAGAGAAAAGAAAAAAAAGCAGATTCACGTCGGGAAATGGCCCGGCTGGCAGCGGCTGCAGCGCCTCGGCCTCGGGCCTCCCGCCCGGCCCGGCCTCAACTCCCAGCCCGGGGATCCAAAGGCCGCGGCTGCCGCTTCCCCTGCGGACCGGGGGCTCCGCGCTGCCCCGGCCGCCCCCGTGGCCGACCGCGGCGGCCTGCGCCGCTTCCCTGCGGCTCCGCGGCCCAGGCCCGGCTGCCGCCGCGGGGCACAGGCCGCGAGGCCCGGCCGCCCTGAGCGCGGCGCGGAGCGTTTAACCGCCGCTGTCCCCGCCCGCCGCCTCGCTGCCCCCCGTCGCGGGCCCGAGGCGGGGAACGGGGCCAGGGTGGAGGTTGGGGGGATCCCCGGGGCTCGCTCACCTGGCGCTGCTGCTGCTGCGGCGGCGGCGGCCGCGCCGCTCCCCTCGTGCCCGGGCCGGGCGCTCGGCGGGCACCGCGCGGATCCCGCCGCCGCCGGGGGCAGCAGGAGGAGGAGGAAGGAGGGAGGGAACCTGCTGCGGCGGCGGCGGCGCGGGCGGGAGGGGGAGGCCAGGGGCGGCTCCGCGGCCTCCGCTGCGGGCACCGGCGCGACGGCGGGGGAAGGGCGGGGGGGCCGAGCCCCTCGCGCTGGCTCCGGGGCGGGGAAGGGACGGGGGCTGCAGCGCGGAGAGAAGGAAGGAAGGAAGGAAGGAAGGAAGCAGGGAGGGAGGAAAGGATGGAGGAGGCCGCAGATCCCCGACCTCGCGTGGATCCCGGGCCTCGCGTGGATCGCGGGCGCGGCGGCCTCGCGGCAGGACAAAGGCCCGAGGGAAGGAGGGAGGGAGGCAGGTGGGGCGGGGGCGGCGGGACCCTCGGCGGCGCTTCCCGCGGGGCA